GACCAAATTTGGACTATTAAATGTAATTCAAGAAATGTGTTCTTTCGAGAAATACGATTTTGGAAAAACGAATTTAATGCGGCACGAGATCAACACTGAGACCAGTCTGCCAAACCGTCAGGGGCATCGGGTATCCCTTTGCATTAACGGCAAGAAACAGAAATTTCCAAGATAGAGTAAAAGACTCCATAATTGTTTTCACCGAGAGACCGCTGGCATCACCGGGTGAGCTCGTGATGAAAAAGATGGAACGACAAGAATCGGGTTGACTAGCAGAAGCAGGATGAAATCGTTCAAGGATAAGATAGCTAGCTGATCCCTTGGATCAATGGCAAACTTAATACCTTGGGAAATGCGAATCTGTCCTCCACAATCGACCTGGCCTCTGGATATTGACAGACTGAAGTTGAACAGAGAGACAAAAGAAAGACCTTTGGTACAACTTTGTTCACTGTGTGAAAGTTATGTTAATCGGGTTGTGCAATGTTAAAAAACATTCAAATGATTGAGGAATGACTTTTGAATTTGTAAGACTCCAGTGGAATTCTTGTATCATTTATCTAGACGACATCATTATGTTCAGCCAGACATCCGAGGAACACATTCGTCGTCAAAGAAAAGTTCATGTGACTCAGGCGGACAGGCTAAAAGCTGAATCTGCACTGTTTTCACAGCGAGGAAGTTATAGAGAACATGTTATCTCCTCTGAAGGCATCAGGAGAGACTCATGAGAAGTCTGACCAACACCATCGAGAACGAAGAAACTTAGGCAGTTCCTGCAGCTAGTCTTATTATTGACGGTTCATCGTGATTAGCCACATTCTCCGCTGTTTTACAAAGTTTATTAACAAGGATAATATTAATAGGATAGAATTGAACGGATGTGTGCAATTCGTAATTTATAAGGCTGAAGATGACAGGATGGTAGGTACCCTGGTCTTCCGTCACTCTTCCACTGATGAAGAGATCATGCTGGAGACGTATGAACATATGTACGACAGTCTGGGAAGAGTTAGGTAGCAGGGCGCCGATGGCAAGAAG